ATTTAACAGACATTAAGCCAGAGCTAACTACTACACCGATAATAAGCACATTACTTAGCTTATGAATTTCACAATCAAAACTACAAATGTCATAAAAAAACAAATAATTCATGATTTGATTATCATACTGAAAATCTTACTGCATTTTCTCTAACCCACTTACACTGTATCCTAATTGTACTGCAGAAAAAACTAATGCATACATGAAACAGGTAGGAAAAAAGGACAGTGAAATATCACTTAAAATGCTTAGTTAGCTTGCTTCCATACTCATTAAGTCAGTGAAAAAACTCATACGAAACTCCAGTGTTCCTCAAGCTGCCCCCAATTCCTTCACAATCCCAAATCTATTTCTCTAAAAGCTGTAATGGAAGTTTTAAATTGCCATATTTGGAATGGAAATTCTCTTTCAGAACAGTGCTTCCTTCATGAAAACGAGCACGGTGTTTACCACCACATTAGTTCTGGACAGGGCTCTTCCCATTCCTTTTCTCTTCTCATTCGCATGCATATTTGCCTCCTGGCAACATCAAACAAAAGTAAAAATATGACTTCTAAAAACCTTTTCAAGTCAGTTGTAAAATTGCACGATGGTTCAAACAGACAGCTCTTTCTAGCCTACTTTGATGCTTGGAACACTTTTGATGGATGTATTTTAGCTACTTTAGCTAAGAAAAGCTAGGGAAAGCCTCCTAACACAAATGGGGGCAATTTTTATTTTAGAGCCCCAAATAAGGAAGGGACAAAGTAGAAACATGAAAATAATATTTCCTCTAAGTTCAAACACAAAATATTTATTCTTAATGTGGAGAACAATTTAGCATTTCAAACCCCGTGGGTATTACACGGGCAACAAAAGAAATTTAGCTCAGCATAACTCAGCCAACGTTTTACCATTGACTTTTCAGCAACAGCAAGCACTGCTTAAGCTATGGATGACAATAAAAGTTTGAATATGGTTATTTTATATTTTTCCCCTTTTTAAATGACTTTCTCCTAACGGGAATTAATTCTTTACCTGCTAACATAGATATATATATATTTATGGGGATTCACAAGTCGACTAACACAGCTTCCAAGGCAGCAGCATTAGAACTAAGCAAGCTGCACTTCAGCTCGGAGATCCTGAGGAGCTTGCTATTGCAGCCAGTAAACTTCCAAAAAGACTTACTGAGCATAGAGAAGTGGGAAAAAAAAACAGCCAGCAGACACTAAGTTTCTACCTGCCACCACTCCTTCCTTCACCTTTGTTTAGGGTGAGGGAAAAGGCAGGTTTTGGCAGTGAGCCCAGAAACCCCAAGACCAGGGAAAGCCAGGTGCTCGGGGTGAACCGAAGCGTAGGTGGTACCTGAGGTATTTTAAGCAGCACCCATTGCTTTGAGGAAAATCCATGTTGCCAGCTCTCCTCTGTCAATCAGAGCCCCTGATGGAGATGATCCTGTCAGCCAGCGATGAGTCGAGCCGAGCTGCCCAAGCCGCCGCTGAGTGCGGCCTGGCCTGGCCTGGTGCCCCCAGCGCCATTGCTCACCTAATGGCCGCTCGGGGCTCTTAGGGCAGGGTGTGAGGGGAAAGGTGGTGGTTGTCCCACTGCCAGCCCCGAGTTTGATGGCTTTTTAGCTTCCAGCTAGGGCTGAAGGGTAGAAGAGCTGTTAGAAACAGGACTCTCATCTGTTTTGAAACAAATTGTATGCTACTTTCTCAAATGCTTTTCCTAAACTTCTGGAAATGACCCTTCCAGTCCCCTTCCTACTATGGTAGCAGTAAAATGACTATGATGTACGGCAAGTTTTAGAAAAAGATGCGCTTTTTTATTATTTTTTTTTATTATTATTTATTTATTTATTTTTCAGAAGTGCCTGTAAAGTGTTGATTCCTGTTGTGCTTTGATAAAAGCATCACCTGTGTCTGCCCCTCTTGCAGTGCTGCATTTCTGGGGTTTTTCTTTCCAGTCCTGTCTTTCTTTAGGGGTTGAAAATGCCTCAGTTAACTGTGGGAAATGTACAACCGGTTATATTTTTTCTGACATCAAATCTTTCCTTTCATATACCTCTCAGAGAGGCTCTGTGGCAATAGCCACAACAGCACCAACCAACTGCAGCTGCCTGAGACTGCAACAAGGTGCAGATTTACCTTCCTGCCTGCTCTGCTGTCTCCAAGACTTGCTTCGACTTCTCACACCTAATAAAGGCCTTGGTTTTGTTACAGATTTGTAAAGAATAGACTAGAAATCAAGCAACGAGGCAAGGTTTTTACCTTTTTCTCTCTATTGCTAGCTGTGACTCTAAATAAACCCATCATGGTTGAAGTACTGATGTTGCTTACCACACCTTGTGGGTGTCGTGTTATGTTCCCATCTACGTTTTTGCAAGATAGACTCTGCAGATAGGACAATTCTGCACTTCTGCTCTTCCAGTGTTTTAAAGATTAATGGTGTGGTCCCCTGTTTTGCATAGGTTTGTGTATATGCTATATACACAAACTCACTTGCTATGAGTTTCTATCTTGAGTAACCTGAGGATACTTGATGAGTTGATGAAACTTAATACTGTAGAAATAGCTGCAATGTAATGACTATTTCAAGAAAAAGTACACAGTAATTTTGAAAACTGTTTAGTACTTCATTTTCAATGATATATCCTGAAAAAGATTGAATGACTTCTGTAGAGGAATTTATACTTAATATAATACCCGTAAACCCGTAACTAAAACTCAGCAAATGTCCTTTGTATTTAAATGCTACATGGCCTTTAAATACAGTTAAGAGAAATATGTGGCAAAGATTTTAATGGCATATACTAACATTCTTTACTTCCATGTTATTATTGCAATGCGTCTTTTTGTCCTATTGTGGTGATATAGAAGGATTGCAAAGATGGTGTAAAGGCTTTGTGAAAAATGTGTTTTATGATCTTTGTGCTGCTTCTGTATGATGTCAAGTACAGGAAAGGATCTGAGGAGAGAGGCTAAGAATTACTTTTATATCTGCAAGGATTTGCACTGAATGGGGAGCAAGTAAAAGTCACATTTATTTTGCAGGCTAAGATAATCTGAATCAATAGATGCAGAGTATAAAACAACTTTTGCATCTGCAAAAGTGAACCTAAATTTGTTTTTATAGCATACTGGTTTTCATATCAAGTTTTTTATTCTGAATATAAATAATAAACATTTAGTATCATTCTAATTGTACATTGTTAAAATCACATATAGTAGTAACAGTCAAGAGAATCTGACAGTTCAGGGAATAAGTTGTACCAGGCAAAGATTTTCAATCCATCAGAGTTGCAATTATTCAGTTCTGTTCTGTGGCCTTAACATAACTGAATCTTGTATCTTCTATTTAAAAATTTCTAGAAGAAAATCAGATGTGAGTTGGTTTAATATAGCTTGTTCTAAACTGTATTTTATCACTGATCAGTGTTTTCCCATGATAAAAATATTTTTTTCTGCTTTGTGACAAAACACTGTCTTTCCATAAATATGAAAAAGCAGCTGTGGAGTCAGTTTCTGTGAGGGATATACTGTTCTTCCAACTTATCAAACTGGAATGTAGGCAGTCCTGAAAAAAGTATTAGTCTTGATTAAAAATGCAGCTTTTGACATTGGATGCTCTGGCCCACAATTTTGGGGCCATTTCTTATGTTGAATTACTTGCAAGAGTTTCAGAAGATTTGGGAATGAAATTTGGTGTATGCTTTAAAAGTCAAGTGTAACAATTCTGCAGTGTTATGCTTGCACTTGACAATGCATCTGACTGTACGTGCTTACCATGTGCTAGAATTAGGATTTCAAAGTACAGAGAAGTGTCTTGATAATTAAATAATGTTTGGTAGATTGCAGTATCTAGGCCAAACAGTCTAAAAAGATCTGGTTAGCAACATGGTGTTTTAAGAAGAATCTATCTAAAGGTGCATTTCTTTCTTTGATTCTGCACCTGTTCCTTGGAATCATTGTATGCCTACGTATCCACAACCTGTTCTAGTACTGGGTTGATCCTAAATCAGCGTTTCCTCTCTTCAGAAAATGTTATCTCTGTCTAGAAAAGCCAACCGGATGCCATTAACTGTGGTTCACTTAAGTATTTATTCCCACAATACACAATATTTTTCTGTCTGAAATGTTACAATCAGACAATAATTCTAACATTACTGTTTTTAAGCTGTTTTTAGATTTGTGCAACTGAGCTTTATCAGTACAGGCCAGTGGTTGGGTGTGGTCTATTTTTTTTTCCCAGCATATATGATCCCATGTACTAAAAAAAATGCAGATTAAATACATGGATAAAAATATACATCATACTTAATGTATTAATGCTATTTGTAAGAACAGTGGACATAGTTGGTAGGCCAGATCCTTATGTTTTTGTTCTGCATTTCGTAATGGCACCATTTCAAATCAACGATAGAAGGGACAGAAGAGAGGTTTGTTATATAAGGACATATGAGGACATGCTTCAATCTATGCTATGTAATTATTGGGAAAAAGGTTAACTTGGAAATGGTATTCCTGGAACTTAGGACACTGCTTTGGGAAGTAAGGATTTTAAATACACTGGAACACAGCGCACTTGGCTCATAAAAAGCAAAGGTTATGTAACCTAAACTTCAGGTGAGAACAATTGTGCTAGCATGCTGAAGACTTGAGTTGTTTTGAGGCCTATGAACACGACTAATGGAGATCTTGTGGTTGGTTTTGCATTCCTGTCAGGAGGAACCTCCTGGCAGCTCTGCGTTCGCCCTCAACACCGTGGATCCAGACTTGGTGGATCGCCTCGTCAGGACGATCAGAGCTCCCGCAGCGTGCTTTAAGCTTATTGCGGCATCCGAGGGCAAAAAAAGACAAAAAAGTGGTTTTGTGAGGAGCCTTCCCGGCGTGCTGCGTGCAGGGCCTTGCATGCCGGGGGTTGTAGGCGCCGCCGGCCGCCTCTCCCCTTCCGCTCGCTGCCTGCCGCCGGGGCGGGGCCGGGACTTCCCGGCACGGCGGAGGCGGCCGGGGCCGGGGCCGGGGCCGGGATCGCGGCCGGGCCGGGCCGGGCCGAGCCGGGCACGGCGATGGGAGCCCACGGGAGCCCGAGCGGGGACCGCGACGGCCGGCGCCGCCCCGCCGCCGAGGCCACCGCCCGCTAGCGAGGCGCCAGGCCCCAGGCGGGCCCGCAGAGGTCGGTGCTGCGGGGCTCGGGGGGGGGGCTCTGCGGGGACGGGGGGGCACGGGCTTGGGGCAGGTAGAGGGGAGTCCGGCAAAGGAAAGGAGCAAAGTGAGAGCTTTGGTGTGAATTGGGAATGAAGCGGGATGAAGGGCTGGAGCCGGCTGGAATGCAGGTGTTGCAGGCCGTGGTGCACGGGAGGAAGGAAGTGGGGATGGGTGTTGCGATGCTGTCATGCTGCTGGTGCCGAAAGCTGCAGAAATCACGCCTGCAAATCCTTGTGTTTCACCCGGCAGGGAATTTACCGTCCTTAAATAAATCAGCTATCCAGTAACTTACACGCGTGAGCAGCTTGGGCTGTAAACCGTGCCACTGAGTGGTCTTGGGCGCTTTGCATTTCTCATCGGACCCCCTAATTCCCTTCCCGTCTTACCCTCTGTGCACGCAGTAAAGCCAGCACTTGAAAAAGCAGAGTGAAGGAAGAATTATTGTCGTAATATCGTCGAGTCTGCCATGGGCTCCAAAGGTCAGATGCTCTTCCGAGATAGAGCTGCCTGTTGGCTATGGGAAACATTTCATTTCCTGGGTGTCTAATGAAACACTGCTACAGCTCTTAGTACCGGGTATCTGTCAGCAAGCAGATCCTGGAATTTTTAGCCAAGAAACCAAAACAAATGTAAATTACTACTACATTTAGTTTCTCAGATAATGGTTAGTAATAAAGGAACTCATGATAGAAATAAATGTTAATCATATGATCCCGGTGTAACCTGGGTAGGAAGTTATTTGTGGGTAATCTGAGCGCAATTGTTGAGGTACTGATACGTGAGTGAAGTCAGTTATTTTTATTGAAAAGCTTGGGTCTGATGCGTGTAGAAAACTTTAAATTGTTTTGGTCAGAAGAGACACAAAACACTTAGAGTGAACTCTAGAACAGATTCTATGAGGGTTTTAGACACACCCTGTCCTCCCCCCAAAATAATTCTTTACTATGAAGGTGGTGAGGCACTGGCACAGGCTGCCCAGAGAAGCTGTGGATGTGCTGTCCCTGGAGGTGTTCAAGGCCAGGCTGGATGGGTCTTTGGGCAACCTGGTCTGGTGGGAGGTGTCCCAGCCCATAGCAGAGGGCTGGAATGAGGTTATCTTAAGGTTCTTTCCAACCCAAACCATTCTGTGATAACCTGAAAAAGTGCAGGCCTATTACTGTACATGCTATTGATACCTGATTTCTTTAGAATGCAAATGCATGAAAAGGCTGAGGGAAATGGGATAAAACACAGTGGGGGTTTGGCTTTTGTTACTTGTTCCTTAAACAGAGGAAGCCCAGATAAAGGTGTCCGTATTCAATAAAACAGAGTGGCAGCGAGACTGAGTTTGTTAAAATGGCAAAGCTGGAACTAATGGTAGAGTCAGGCTAGTAACTGGCATGGCAAAAGTCAATGGTGGGTTTAGAGACCCCAATCCAAATGCGATTTATTCAGAATAATCCATTTTATGTTTTTGTTAGGTGCTGTACTGTAATTAGATTCATTAAAAATACTGTGTGTCATAGAAAATTTGGAGTTGTGACCCACAAGTGTCATGAAGTCCAACCTCTGGCTCCACATAGGACCACCCAAAAATCAGACCCTGTGTCTGAGAGTGTTGCCCAAATGCTTCTTGAACTCCGGCAGGCTCGGTGCCGTGACCGCTGCCCAGGGGAGCCTGTCCCAGTGCCCGACCCCCCTCTGGGTGCAGACCCTTTCCCTAACCCCCAGCCTGACCCTCCCCTGTCCCAGCTCCATGCCGTCCCCTCGGGTCCTGTCGCTGTCCCCAGAGAGCAGAGCTCAGCGCCTGCCCCTCTGCTCCCCTCGTGAGGGAGCTGCAGGCCGCCATGAGGCCTTCCCTCAGTCTGCTCTGCTCGGGGCTGAGCAAACCAAGGGACCTCAGCTGCTCCTCATACGTTTTGCCCTCTAGACCCTTCACCATCTTCATAGCCCTCGTTTGGAGGCTCTCTAACAGTTTTATGTCCCTATACTGTGGTGCCCAAAACTGCATGCAGAGCTGAGGCCGCTCCAGAGCAGAGCGGGACAATCCCTTCCCTCGCCCAGCTGGCAGTGCCGTGCCTGACGCACCCAGGGCACGGTCAGCCCTTTTGGCTGCCAGGGCACGCTGCTGACTCACGTTCAACTCGCTGTCAGCTAATTGTGCAGTCATGTGTGTAATCATATAACTAATAGGTACGTGGTGTTCAGTATACAAAATGGGTGATGCTCCTAAAATTTGACAACACATCTGGGGAGAAGAAATGGTGTTTGTGAAGGGGAGTGAAGCATGAGGAACTTGAATGTTGAAAGTTAGCCACTTACAAATTGCTTACAGACACTTGTGTTCAAATGATTGGGATTGTTTGAAATGATGAGATGTAAACCTGCATGTTAGTGAGTTACAGGATGACCACGGGCTATCAGCGCAAAGCAGGTTAACTCGTCTTTTAATAGCTGCAACAGGTGAGGTGTTTCTAGTTGAATTAACAGTTAATGCAGTTACACAAGGCTTTTACAATACCTTGTCACTAAACCCATGCACTTACTGAACGTGATTTAATATGGCAGTTGCATTAAGTGGGAGGAAACTTAAAACTAAAGGTAGGACCTATTGTATATTTTACAAGAGATGTTGTTTTCAGAAAGAAAAAGAAATAAACCAAACAACAACAAGAAAGCAACCCTCTTACTGTTCATAAATGTTGATAACAGATAATGTTAGCACAAGAGGATATTATTCTCTCAGGAACCTTTGAATAAACTTTTTGATGTTAGGAAGGTCTGACAGCCAGAACACACATTGCTCCTTCCCGTGTTTTTGTTTTTTTTTTTTTTGGCATTATTGCTTCTAATGAGTTTCAGGATTAAATCTGATAGTTTAATAAACAGGATTATATGACAGTGGCTTCAAATATTGGAGAACAATATCTGATTGGTTACAACGTCTCTTTCTTCTCCTTTTCTTATGGGTGTTAGGGAAAGTGATTAGGGACAAAGTGTTTTGCAGCGCTGGAGGCAGCAAAATGAAGTAATTGGAAGTTCTGATTCAGCTGGCGTTGTTTTGAAGATCGGTGAGTATATTAGAACTGCAGAGCTGTGTCCTTGTAAGCAGCGATTCCTAGGGAGGGTTGTGGACGTTGCTGAAGGACAAGCAATGGCCAAAGATAACAGCGACTGGGCTGTGTGTAGGCAGAGTTTTTGTTCTAAAAAGGAAGCCACTATCTGCTTTTAAAAAGGAAAGTTTCAGTAGAACAGACTGTTGAGGACTGGAATCACAAAAAACTTGAGATCTCTGAGAGATGCAAAATGACAAATACTTCGGACGGTGAATGTCTTGCTTAAGTACCGTGTGCCATACACTGTGCGGGGTTTTTGTTGTTAGCTGCAGGAATTCTGTATTTTTTTATTTGTTTTTTGCTGCTGTGCTGGAGTATCTTTCTAACCTCTGAACTATCCTGAAATTCAAGTGTGGGTTACAACACACTTGTTTCTGTGGGTCAGATATATTTGTTGAATTTAATGTTTTATTTTATACCTACGTGCATGTACGTGCCTATCTACATAAGGCGAGGTAAACCAGTACAGAAATTGTACTCTGTGTTAACACCTGGAGCCTGTTCATACCACCACTGTGAAGTCAAATCCCTTGAGTCTGAGAGGCAAACAAAGTAAAATGGTTCAGACTCTCAGTAGCCTAGGGGAAAAAAAAATCAGGAAAGCACCATCTTGAAATTATTTGCATTTGGAAATATTTCAAAAACCATTCTGTTCTCTCTCGGAGCACAAGAAGGGTCAAAATGGGAATCTGCTTTATACTGTGAAGAATTTCATGTAATCCTGCTTTTACCGTCTTTCCTGCTGATCCAAGTGCAAGATTAGGGTTTCAACCTACAGAAATCTGTTAGTGCAGGGCTCTGTTTGCTATTAGAGCCTTTGCATCCTGGAATTCATTTAAACTGCGTTCCTCATATGTAAAATGTGTTTTGTATTTAACCACCTCCCATGGTGTTAATGACTAATATTTGTAAAGCTCTCTGAAGAGAAAAGCTGTGGTTCTGCCAAGCATTATATTTAATATATTAAATCCTAAAGCTGTTCTCTAACTTGCATTATGTGTCAATGGCCAGCAGAAGGGATTTCTGGAAACCATTCTTTTCTGCAGTACATGAAAGAAAACTTGTGTGCCATCTATTCCAACTCATGTGCTTGTAAGCAGGGGACATAATTACTTCTGCTAGAAGTTACTGCTACAGCCTGTCCTATGTTTCCTTTTGGAGAACATGAATCATTTCATACAAGTGCTGATACTGGTATTCATTTAATGTTTTTATTTGGGGAAATAAAGATTAGAACCCTTTTAAATGGGCCATTTAATGTGCAGTTCACTCTTAAAAAATATTGTAAATGTAACATGCCTCTTTGTCACAGACCTTCCTTAGGTTGGGATGTGTGGTAATTTGGGATTGTAAACTTGCTTTAGGTAGGCAGAGATGGACAATAATTCTATTGTTTAGCATTAACAACTTGTCTGTATATTAGTTTAAATGTTTTAATGTTTTAAATCTTTCACGTTAACTGGTTACCAGAGATCCACGTTCACCCAGGTGCTTTTAGAGTGCCAGCTGTGTGGCATTTGCAGCCCAGCACGTGTGCAGCTTCCTCCTGGGAAAGCCAACTGGAGTAAAAGGCAGGACTCAGCAAACTGTTTTGCAAGCTCTTCTGCCACTGCTGGATTTGAGGAGTCCTGACTCATGGAATAACCTAATACACACATTGTCTCAGAGGGCACTTCCTTGATTGCCCTTTGCAGTTCTGATTTTCTAAAATGACGTAATATATCAGTGGAGAAACTAAACTTTGATTCCTATGCTTAAACAGTAGAATTGAAAGCTGCAGCTGTTGTCAGGGATTTCTTACAGATACAATCCCATTTTTTGAAGTCTTGTCTTCTAAGGGTTTCACTTCATTGCTTAAATATCTTAACAAAGCTTCCTGTGAAGAAAAGTATTTGTAAGCATGCTATCTCTTTATTTTTTTTCCTGACAATACAGCAAAGAGTTGGGTAAACTGTTTCACAGTAACCTTTATAGAACTGCTGATCTTACTGTTTAACAGCCAGGTTTTATTCTTGTATGAGCTTACGTCTCCTATTGGCCTTTTAATACCAGCTTAGCAGGTGCAGGAGAAATTACTTTGGGGTTTGATGGTGGCTTTGTTTTGTTTTGTTGTTGGTGTTTTTGTTTTTTAATAAGTCAGAAAGGTTTTTGCAGCATAGAGATGCACTTTTCTGCCTTCTTCCTTTTTTTTTTTTTGTTTTTAGGTTGTGTTGGTTTATTTAGATCAATTCAGCAATGCTGCTCCAATTTTCTGTTGCAAATTTCTCCCCTATGTCCATATAAAGTGTCCTGCAGTTGGTGAGGTGTGTATTGTAACTTATGGAGTCATCCTGCAGAGAAGTCATAGCACCTTTTTTCCTTAAGACGTTTGTGTTATATAGTTGCATGGGTTATGAGATTTGAAACCTCTTGAAACATGTAATAAGGAATATTTAGTAAGCACAGACAACAGTGACCTTTTACTTATAAAGTTAATTATTAAAGTTATGTTGTATCAATTCATACCTTAGATTTGATAAATACATTTTTCTTTTTCTTGCTTCCATAAATTTGGTGCAATTTTTGCAGTTTTGTAAAAAAATAGATGGTAGAGAACATTGTTACGAGAAAAATGGGGAGCTGTTTAGACTGAAATAGGTGAAGACTTCCTGTCAGATTATGACTGCTAAGAGATTTCCTCATGCTACTGCCAGACCGAATGGTTTGTTTTGCTTTCAGTTTTGGGATCAGTGCTCTTTTCAAAAACAGAAATGTCCTTTAAGATAGAGAGGGAAATCTCCAAATATCAGAAGCTTATTGTTTTATGAATGTCTGCACTGTAGCTTTTTTTAGGTGATGTTATGCCAAATTTGCAGTAATGCAAATGCTCTGAAATTCTGAGTAAATTGGTGTTGGGTGGCATTCATCTATTTCCTTGAAAGTGACATCAGTCCCAAGCCAATGTGAATATCCTGGTGAGGTTTCATTCTTGGCTGAAGCTGTTGAGATTCCAGTCAAGAGAAGCATGTTTCATGATAAGATTTTTTTTTTTGATTGCTTGAAGCCAGCAATTCAAAAATCCCACCAGCCCTTCTGAATATCCCCCTTTCTGCATTTAGGCATGCACGGTGCCTGTTCCCACTGTCCCCTCCAAAATGTGTCATCATCAGATCTCTTCTCACAGGGGATGTCTTTCGTGGGGCACCTCTCTCAGGAGAAGCAGGCTCTTGTTTGGCAGGCTGTTTGTCTTCTCTTGGTGTGCAGTAAGACGACTCAAAATGCACGTGCCAGAGCTTCCTGAAGTGTTAAACTTGTGCGTTGAAATGTAGAAAAACAATATTAGAAGCCCTTCTGAATTAGGTGGAGGCTGATTGTTTGCATTGTAAATGGCATCCTATGTGCTGCTTTAGGAACAGTATCAGAAGTTCAGAGTTCAGTAACCATGTAGGTTATCTGACAGCCATTACGTAAAAACCAGCAAGTGTAACTAGTCCTCTTAGTGGGTACACTTTAAGGGTGTAGCTGAATTTATAAAAGTATTTGTGCATATGGAGTCCTACTTACTTGGAAGGCCTTCCTCTTCTGGGAGGTCATAAAGGCAGCAATATATCTCCTTCACTCTACCTCCTTCAATCAGGTAATGCCGTTTGAATGACAGTGCTTTTGGTCAAAGTCACCTTGTACATGGAGCTTTAAAATCCTTACCAGCAGAAGGAAGCAAACTTTCTTTGCAAGGGTCTTTCTATGTAAGCATGAGGTGGAATGACAGGCAAGGGAAGCTTTTTCTTTCATTTTCAGTCTAGACTATGTAATACAGTACACAGTGCATCTGTTCACATCCTGAAGATAACCACTGGAGGAATTTCAGCCTCGGTTTGTGCATAGTTTTCTTACTGCTGCGACTCCACCGCTGCCTATTTAGTATCAACGAGCTGTCACAGCTTTTATCATGTTGTCTGTCTGGCTTGGAGCAAGTTGAGACAAATGTGGTAACAGCAGCATTGTTAGCTGTGTCTGGGCTACAGAGCTCTTCATAAAGCTGCAGTCCATGCAGCTTTTCCATCGCTAGAAACAGAGGAGTGAATTGGACCACATAGATGAAAGGTCAAAAGCAGTTGATCCCTGTACCTCTTCGTATTGCTGAACAAATATCCTAGTCTAAGAAGGAAGTCTAGTAACTGAAATTGCAAATACACAACCAGGGCACAGTTGTGGGTGTGGGTTTTTCCCCGCCCAGTGTCCACGTCTGCCCTGCAGAGTTCTGCTGATCGGGTCAGTTCTCCATTGAAAAAACTTTTTTGTTCAATACGAGCTGTCTTCGTTGCATTCATTTCTTTCATTCCAGTGTTTCTGTTGGGTTGCTATCTAGTCATCAGGAACGGCAGGATTTGGGGGTGAGGGGGTGGAAGGATTTATTTTTTTATTGTTTTACTAGTAACATCAGTAGTTTTAGGGAGAGCACAAGAAAATACACTACATTCTTGCTGAATATTTTGCTCAACCTAAATAATGTGTTGCAACGAAAGCTCAGTGCAATCATTACTTTGCGTTAGTCATTCAGGTGGATTTGCCTAGTGATGGTGATACTCTTCTTATGGTCAGATTACTGTCAATTTTCTGCACACATGTTGAGACAGATCATGTTGTGAACTACATTTCATTTGCATCTTATCTGCGGTTAAGAGTGGCTCGTTCTGTGGCAGGATGTTTTCTGCTGTGACTAGAGAGTAGCTAACGGTGTAGGCTTTTTAAGGATTAATGCTAGTGTTAAGGTTCCATTCAAAATTTTGGGAACTGTAGAAATATTTGCATTCAAGAATGAATCAAATTAAATGCTTCTCTTTTGGTTTGCTTGTGCTCAGGAAATGTAGTTGGTCAGTTTCTCACAACTGAAATGTTTTTTACTATAGTTCAGTGCGGAATTGAAAAAATCCCTAGTGAAACGTGTCTGTAAAGTTTAAATATTTCATACCACCAGCCAAAGGTTATAGGGTGGTGTTAAACCTTAATAAAAGAGAATTTGGGGGCTCAGAAGTCTGATGCATACTCAAAATATTTTTATTAAGTAACATCTGTTTTGTTCTAACATGCATATCTTAAATGTAAGATGGGTTTCAAGATTTTCTGCAAGATAAAGATGTTTCCCAGATATTCAGTCTTGCTGTCATACCTAAGCAGAAACATTCTCTGGTATTATTTTGGAGTGTTATTCTTGATAACCTTGTCTTTGTGCAAATTTGACTCACATCTATCTTTTTAAACAGCTGACATGGAGGAGCTGATAGAGGATGACATCTGCATTTTGAACCATGAGAAAGCAGACAACAGTCATAAGAGAGACGGGGAGATTCCTGTTTCAGTTTACAGTGGAGATGAGTCTGTTGCTTCCCACTTTGCCCTTGTCACCGCATATGAAGATATCAAGAAGCGGCTAAAGGAGACAGAGAAGGAGAACTCCGTTTTAAAGAAAAGAGTGAGAATTTTAGAGGAGAAGGTAAGAAAAATGTTAACTTATCAACTTCACCAAGAAACACATGGGTTGTTACCTTTTCGAAGTTGTAAGTTTCAAAGTGTAATGAAGGTCAGGAAGTTTGCTAAGGCTTATGTTCTATCTGAATGCCTCTATTTGGAAATACATGTAAAAACTTTTTTTGAGGGTTGAGGGGGAAATGTAAAGGACAAAACTTAATAAGTAATACACATGCTTTGAAGGTCAATACAAAAGCAAAGGGCAGAGATAGCAAGCCATAAAAATAAGAGTTCTCATACTTTCTCCTATTCCAGGTATTAATTTGAAAGGTATTCATAGTAGCTATATTCCGTCAATGCTTTGATTTTTGTATTCTTTTTGTACGTCTTAATTTTTAAGAAAATACTTACAAACCTATCATGAATCTGCATTACGTACACTGAATACTTTCAAAAGTCTCAAATCTTTTATAGAAGGTGTGAAGAATAAAAAGAATGAAAAGCATAATGTGATAGTCAAAACAAGAACTTTCTATGTGAACAGTTGCAATTTGAGGTCTGTAAGGCTTCTTGCTGTCTTACCAAATACACTTTTACTCTGTCAGAAAGAAGGGAGCAATCTTATTGGCAGTGCTTATTCCCCCTTGCTTGTCATTTGCCTTAACTGGCAGTGAGACAGTAGTGACCTGGAAGTTAATAGAGGTATTTTTAAAATAATTCTGCTTTGGCTTTCCGTATAGGAATACACCAGGGGAAAAAAGTGGTATTCATGTTATGAGTCACTATAAATGTTTAGTTTACTCAGAATTTTCTGTATGTTACGTCTTCATTTGCTTAAACCTCTTTTTCCAAAATGTAGAACTTGGAATTTTTCCATCTATAGAACTTGGAAAAAATTTGTTTAAGGAATTGTCGATGTAAGTAATCATGACTAGTGGATCTTTTTTAAATACTCATAGCAGAAGGCTAGCAAGGACTTAAGTATGGTTTCTAGACTTCCTAAATTGTCTTTTTTGTACTTCTGTAAAATTTTGGTCCATATCAATGTATTTCATTAACTTTTTTAAAACTTCTAAAAAAAAAAAAGTTCTCACTGTAAGATACAGAACGCATTTCTCATCTTTTTTCTTGTCTCTAACTTGTAGCTGCTTGGCTCCCGACTGGAGGAGGAGCGCAGTTCAGTTGGCCGCGAACAAGTAAATAAGGCGTACCAAGCCTATCGGGAGGCCTGCATTGACCGAGATAATCTGAAAAGCAAACTGGATAAAATAGTAGGTCTTCCTAAGTAATGACTTAAACACTTGTAGAATGAATTTTTAATTGCTGAAGATCTGAGGTATCACTCTTCTAGGTTTTCTAAGTACATGGTGATACTTTATTTAGGAATGGCAATAGTCTTAATTTTCTTAGAGGGGTAGGCTAATGGTTTAAAAAAAAATCAAAGCAATATTTTTCTAGTATTTAGAAAAAATAATTGTTTTTAGAAAAAAATTATTTTCAGATGTGATAGAAGAAAACTTCCACAAGGCTTTTATTTTTTCTTCTCTCTTGGAAAATAGAAAAAAGAAACTGCAGAATCCTTGAAAGCCTTGAATGAACAGTTGCAGTCTAAGGAAGTAGAGCTCTTGCAACTAAAAACAGAAGTGGAAACTCAGCAAGGTATGCATTTGGCTACATCTTAATAATATGCTGACTAGTTTTAGTGGTTATATTATGAACTCAGGGCATTACGAGTTTTCATCATATATAGCTTTTACAAGAAAATGCTGTCTGTATGTTTAAATCTATGGACTGGACTTCAGATTCTATACAAATGCAGTCATTTGAAAGGTTCATATAAGCAATGCTATGCTTGAATTGCATTACTTTCCAAGAGGACCTGAAGCATGTGATGTGGTACTTCCATTACACAATGTTTTTAAACCTAGCGGAGCATACTACATGTTATAATAGCAGTTGTTGAGAACATAATGGTTTAAGGAGATATGAAGTGCAGAGTTTATGAAGAGAGCTTTGAAAATGTGATTTGAAGCCTTGTTGGGTAATCAGTTTTATTCCTAAGTGGGCTCTGAGTGCCTTGTTTAAGAAATATGAGTGTAGCTTAAGCTTGTATAAATCATTAAATCCGGAAGTGAGTGCACCATGTCATTGAAGACTGGGGAGTGTCTTCATGTCTTGTTCTTGTCCTCTAGCTAGCCTCTTACAACTGATGAGATTAGGTTGCTTCTTAATAGTAATCACATGATTTTATTATTATTTTTTTTTGTCTAATGGAAAAGTTTAGAAGTTACTTTTTCTTTTGTTTTTCTGCTTGGAACTTCTTGATATATGAATTTGAAAAACAAAAACAAACAAAACAACAAAAAACAAACGCTTGGTTCAACTGTGCAACAATACAAACCTGAGGGGAAAAGGCTTATGTTTTCAAAGCATGTATGGAGTGTGCAAGTCAGTAATATGTTATGTGTTTCTGCCATTAACTGATTTTTTGCATTTCCATTGTTGTTTTTTTTATGTTGCTTCCTCTTTTTGTTACTTAAAATCTCCAGTGCAGTTCTGGAAAGGAGGACTGTGTACTTTAAACTCAGAGAATGGATTATTTCTCTACCTACAGCTTGACCGGTGTTACTGTTTCTCTGTTACCATGGACTGCAGTTTATTCAGAAAGTACAGGATAAGATTTTTGTATAGCGTAGTCTGGTTGAGGTGAAACTGTATGTATTATAGGAGTTGTATTTCTTGAACGGGGACTGAAATCTGATTGTCTTGTTTGTCTTTTTAAACAGTTATGAGAAATCTGAATTGTAATCAGTCCAACTGGGAAATAGAGAAGCTGAACAGTGACCTGAAAGTGCATAGTCTGGAACAGGATCTAGAAAACCTCAAGCAAGAGTGCAGTAGTCTCAGAAAGGAATTGCAAAAATATAAGCAGAAGGTACCTTCATTTTTAAGGATTTTTTTTTTTGTATTAATAGATTTGGCTTTGTTAGAACATTTTAACTCCCTTGTCCAAGCAAAATAAAGGGTGAAGAATCGGATACAAAAAATAATTGGTTGCAAGATGAACATTGTAATAAAATTAACCTTAAATATTGCCATAGGCTGGTTTACTTTTGGAAATAGTGCATGTACATAGGTGAGATTACCCAGATGTTACCAACAGAAAATAAAGCTTTACTGTTTCTTTAAAGTCACCATTCAGATCAAAGTGGCTTATGTTGGTATTTTTCTCAGGCTGAGCTTTTCTGAATGTTTGAGCCAAACGTGGTCTTTTTTTTTTTTTCTTTTTTTTTGTAGCAACACTGGAATGCTTGTGTTTAAAGATATTATAAGATATTATGAACTTTGTTTAAGGCGCTCTAACACTTTTCTTTAGCATAGTGGCATGAAGCGTGTCAGAAAAGCAGTTTTCTTGTTTTGTTTTGTTTTGTTTCTTTTTTGTAACAAGATGCATCCTGGGCTGAGCTAGGATACTGGTGAGAACTGGAACCAGTAGCTGGGACCTTACCTTGAGGTATCCACAGGAAACAGCTGAAACAACAGGAGGAGAAGACAGTAGGATTTGAATGGCGAAGGCTAGAAGAGACTGTCATAGTGGGAGAAGAAGAATGTTGGGAATAGAAAGAACATGAAAGTGTAAGGTACTAAAAGAGAATGGAACTAGTTGTGCAAGTAGATAAAGAAGGTGTTGAGGAAACTACTACAACTGTTCAGGCAGTCTCGGTCGTATCCCTAACTGCTCATTCGGAGATTGAGCAGAGATTTGTGAAGCCTGGAATTGGATGATGAATTTAGGATGAGAAAGCAGGAATTAGGTGGGTGGAATTGATAGTTTGGTTAAGGAAATGAAAGGGAGATTTGAGACAGAACAGGCCTTGTGCCTTGCATTATGGAGCAGTCTGAAGGAGGGGAATTGGGTTCCTTTTGGATGAAACTAAGATGCACCCCAACCTCTTCTGGGCATTCAGAGACCAGACTAGAGCTAGCCTCAAGCGATGTCCTTCTCTCCTGCCTCCCTCAAAGCATATGTAGCTGGAGCATTCGGTTCTTAGCACTGAATGGGTCCCTTCAGGGTTGCTGCAACCACTCTCCTAGCTTATGTGGATGTTCTTACACGTCAGCCGTCTTGTGTCAGGTTTATTCTGCGTTTGTTCCACTAGGTGGGGATAAAGCACATTACCTGGAAGGCAGGCAAGTTGTTTTGTTAACTCTCATTACTGTTGGTTGTTGTTTACTCTTAAATCTGGAATTATTGTAGATATTTGCAACAGCTTGTAAATTCTGAAGGTGTACTTGAACTTCTATGCAGTTTTGATGTCTTTATGTGGTTTTATAGAAATAATTGAAGATTGCAGACTTCAGTGTGAGAATGAATGTTGCTAGAAAAAAGACTAAAATAGTGTTTCTAAGAAATACCAAACATGACACTATTTAATGCTTATTCCAGCAGTTTTTGTTGTAAAGAACAAATAGAAGGAACAACTGACTTTGTTTTAATGTAATTTCTCCTTGATCCTGGTAACTGCTTAACATAGGAAGTAAAAAAGTAGTTTTCAAATGTAGAATAATATACTGCAACTGAGCTTTTTGAATAATGAAGTTGAATCTCTGGGTGGTGGTAAGAAAGTCTTCAAAAGCGTGTGTGGGAGAGAAATATGATGAATGGGTAATCCAACAGGTCAATATTGTTTCAAAACCCTATATATGTATATGGTCTGTGTATATTTTTTTCTATAGGGGTATTCTTACTCAGGTTTTGCATTGTGGTTGATGCCATATGTACATTATACTGACAAGTTGCTTGAAATTTTGGTAGGCCTGAAGCCACAGTAACTGGTATCAAATTCGTTATAACTTTGTCTAGAGGGAATGGTGCAGGAGAGGTACGTGAAGAGAAGGAATATGAATGAGAACTCATCGCAGTATTTTCAGATAGATTTGGACTCACCTATTCATTTTTTTTTCTTCCCCTCACTTTGTTATGCAGGACCAGGCTCAAGATGGAAAGCCAGTAAATGGAGACCACCCCCAAAGGCAAGACATTCAGAGGTATGAAAATCTTTCATGTTTTATACGTATTTTACTGAGAGACAGTTATTTGAGGGTGTAGATATTCTTGCAGCCTGCGCAAATGTGTTATTTCAAACTACATAATCTACTTTTAAGTCTGGGCACTCTGATTAAGCAAAGTCATCTTCTCTTTCCCTTTGTCTATGAAGACAGAATGATGTCTGAAGCCCAGAATCATAAGAAAGTATTTATGTTTTCATATTGTATAGAAAATGAAATTATCTTGGACTTAAAAATCAACTATTTAATAATCCGTTGACTTGAGGAGGTGGTAGATGAACTTTCAAGTCTCATCCCAGCTATAGGAAGTTCTTTGTTTTGCATATGAGGAGGTCTCTGTGTTTGGCTGGTGGCTTCAAATCTCTTGCTTAGTATGAGAATATACATTTTTACTTAGTGCAGTATAATAATAGCTCTATTAGAAGACATTAAAGGATTTATTTTTTTTAATACTGAGGTACCAATATTTGACCTATGCAAAAAGAAATTATATTCTTGAAGTTTTAGTGGAACAGAAAGCATTCACTATTTTACAGCCATTTGAATGGTATATAATTGTGCTTTTGGTAGTGTCTGGAATTATCCTGTGTTCAGTATGTGTGCCATATTAGATAGTAGATATATCCCTTGTGTCTTTCATGCATTCAAAAACTGTTCTTTTCCATAAAGTTCCCAAATGTTCTGTCTTGCAGAAACAAAATACCTGCATCTCTTATGCATGGTTATAAGCCAATTCATGCACTTCCACAATTTTCCACAAGAGGGTAGAGTGCTCCTTCATAATGACAGGTTGTTTAGAGCAGGATCTTTTTGCTTACTTGGCTGTTGAAGAGATGGGAAAGGAAATCAGTCACTGAAAGAACCCTACAGACATTTCTTTCATATGTTCTCTGATATAATGATGATAACATTGTAGACGCTATAAACAAATTATACTTTCACCTTTCATCTTGACTGGATAGCTAGCTCACACTTCTCTTGTGGTTTCTGCTGGAGCTTCGTAGTCAGTCTTACACGCCTGAAAAAAGGTGTTACCTCAAGGTAAAACAGCTCTGTTTAATCTTCCAGAGCAAATTTATTTCAAGAAGTCGTGTTCAGGTGGCAGCCATCAGAATTAACATATGTACAGTGTAGCATTCAGTGTAACATGATACACATAATGAGCGTGTGATGCATTTGGAATACGCCAGTCCATCCAAAAATCTGTGCACGGGAATGAGGGGGAACACTTGAAAACTCCTATGTGAAACATTCATTGTAGCAAGCAATCCTGCTGTTTATGGCAGCCAAAGGCATTTGCAATTAGTGAACTTTTTGGAAAGGAATTATTTCACGTTTGTCAGCAGCCTGCAAGTCTGACTTCAAATTTGTTTTTATTTTGCAAATCTACTTTGCTGCAGATTAAGCTGTAGTGATTCTAAAATCTTCTCATGTAATATGTGTGTGTGTTTTTTTTCTTTTTTGTTAGGTGATTATATTCTGATTGTGCTTTTCAGGATGGGGACTGGTTGCAAAATAAAAAATTGTAAACATTTGAGACAGATGTACAGATCATATGTTCTGCTTATGTTCTTACTGTAGTAATTAAAATAGTAAAAAACCTAACCAAATTGATTAAATGTAGTCCTATATTAGAAGAAAAAATATGAGGTGCATTTGTGGCTAAAAATGCTTTGTTTTTCCATACAGAATGTAAACTGTGCAGAGCACAGAAACATAAGGGAAAAATAAGTTCTTACATTCAAACTTTGTTACATGTTAGAAGGCAATGTAGGGTAAACACCCAAGCACATGAAATCCTTGCTTTTTAGTTGAACCTTCCTTGAAAATTGGGCTTTGCAATGGGATTCTAGACTAGTATCCCCCAAAACAATTCAAATATGTTATGTGAATTAAGTGGAATTTTGGTACCTGCATCCCTTTGCAAGATCCTTTTTAATGGAGCTAAACTCATGTTACAAAACTCTTTCTGAATCACAGAATTGTGGAATGGTTTGGGTTAGAAGGGACCTTAAAGATGACCTCATTTCAACGCTCCTACCATGGGCAGGGACACCTTCCACCACACCAGGTTGCCCAAAGCCCCATCCAGCCTGGCCTTGAACACCTCCAGGGATGGGGCATCCACAGCTTCTCTGGGCAGCCTGTGCCAGTGCCTCACCGCCCTCATAGTAAAGAATTTATTCCAGATAACTAACCTAAATCTACACTTTTGCCAATATACCCCCGTGTACAATCGCTACGCTCCCTGATAAAGAGTCTCTATCTTTCTTAAAAGCCCCCTTTAGGTACTGGAAGGCTGCTATAAGGTCTCCATGGAGCCGTCTTTTCTCCAGGCTGAACAACTCCAGCTCTCTCAGCCTTTGTAGAGATGAATGGTGGATAGATGGTCACAGACACTGAGCTGTTCCTATATTCATGACTGTGTAAATATTGGACAGTTCTGTTTTAATGTAACCAAAGTTTGTTTAATTTTATTTTTGAGACTTCTTAAAAAATAAATAAAGGATGGTTGCAACATCAACTTAATTAGATGAAAATTTTACAATTAAAAGTTCAGAGTCAAGTGAATTTTACACGTAAAGATGACAGAAGCAGAACTTCTTCAAATACAAAGCTGCTAACTTTTCTGATTTTTGTTCTTCATTTTCTCACTAGCTAATTATCTGAAACTTCAACATTGGCACAGTGCTGTTGTTGCTAAATACATTTCTCAAATTATGCTGTCTTATCAGAGAATAAATTGGGTCTTCTAATTTTAACCCTTTCTGATAAGGCAGTATATTAATTTAAATTAGATGACTCGAATATGAAACACTGTGCTGAATTATTTTGCCCTGTGTGTGTATGTGTGATCTGTTTGGACCTCTAGAATCTAGTCTGAATTCACTGCAGCAGAATGAATGGTGTAAAGACCCAAATATTGATTTTTGAGTATTTAAGATTGTGATCAATTAATGTGACTAGGATCATAACATTTGATGGTGTGGGGGGTCATTTATCAAAATCCATTCAACGGTAATAGTCTACTTTGCTTGCAATTTAGTGTTCATTTAATGTATTTTACAAAAATACTCCCTTGAGACTACTAATTTTATGGGAAGATAATTTAAAATAGTGATATTAGCGAATAAGCTTCATATTTCTTTCCATTTGGGCAATTTGAAATTATTAATATTATCTAGTATGTTAATCTAAGACTTTTATATTTTAATGTATAATATATATGCATGTAACTTATAAAGATTATAATATAGAAAAGTTGTTCAGTTTAAGGTAGTTATTAGTACTGCTCAGATCATTTTGAATTATGGTACTCCAGTAAAGTTGTCAGTGTATGTCAGGTAAAAAGCCTTGGGAATGTTAGCAGGCATGGGAGTGCTTTAGAGGTGGCAAGTATTTAACTTTGATTTTTTTTATTATTATTTTGAAAGTGTGCAACAAGCATATTGGGATCTGAAGAGAGAAATGTCTAATTTGCAGCTAGTGACTGAAGTGCAAGCTGAGGTTCTACGAAAACTGAAAACAAGCTCAACACCGACCAAGAAAGGCAAGTCAGTAACAGACCTTACAAACACAGATCGTAGATCCAAGCTGCACCATTTTCAAAAGAAACTGGCTATCATATCTTATCAGAATCTCGTCAATTGAAGTTGATAAGCTAGGCTATATTATGGTTCCAGCCTACCCATTTTCTGCTTCTGTCTTATACTGGTCAACTTCACACATAAAGGTGTTGCTGATGTGTTTTTTCTTCAGTACTGTATTCTGTTCCCCTTGTGGCTTTTTTCTCAGTCAAGTGTTGCTTATGTGCACAAGGCTGAGGTGTTAAGTTTACTCGTATTTGACCTTTTACCACAACTACTTCATATTAAAAAAAAAAAATCTTTTCAAATGCAAGTCTTATTTTCTCTGTATAGAATATATATAAAGTATTAATTTGGCAGCATTTAAAACTAACTTTAATTCCTTTATGGCTGTATATTTTACATTAGCATACAGAGAAGTTGCATTTTTTAGCATAGTGCTATGCAAGATGACATTTTGCTGACTGATGTTGCAAAACTGCTTTATTTCTGCTGCTACCTTGCAAACAATTTAGGGGAGCGTATTTTCTGTTAACAGTTCATCAGATGTTTTTCTCTATTTTACATGTATGCTTCTCTTGATCCAATTGCTTTGCAAAAAGGTTCTTATTATGGTGGGACCAGACCTTATCAGTCTGTTTATCTTGGTGTTTATTTCCTTTGTCTGCTCACTTGAGCTGTGGTATTTACTGTGTTCAGAACACTGAAGATGGTGGTCAAAGAAACTGAACTTGGTGTAGTAGTGATAGTCTTGGATGTCCCTATCTACTACAAGATCAAGATATTTTGTTTCTAACTGCTTTGATGGGCTCACTGACTTAATGATAGGATTCACCTCCAGGTCAATGACTGGCTTTGTCTGTGGCCAGCAGTGATTAATGATCATTCTCTGGTACTTGGCTGATAAATTATTAACACTCATTCTAGACTTGATCGTATTGTTACCAGGTTAGCCTGTGTTCCTTCAATTCTAAGACACATTTATCAAATAACTTCAGTGGAGCAACGAAGAACTGAATGAGTTTTTAACCCTGAAGTCTGTCAGGGTTTGATGTAATTGTGTAGGATCTTGCTGGTTTTATTTTTAACCTGGAGTTACCTGTCTTGCCAATACACAAGTACTGATCTTTCTCTTCTGCCTGGTGAACAAACTAAATTTCTGCAGTTGCTAACGCATGTGTACATCCACAACAATAAAAGGCAATCTTGATTGATTGGTAAAAACAAGGTATTTTGCCTTTCGCTCTGTAGGTTCCTCTCAATAAATTTTCAGAAGTATGTGAGAGTGGACAGCTTTGGTAGAAACTAGAATTTATTTCCTTGTTTACCTTGCTTGTTAGCCATGCTGAATGCAGTGCAGATATGTCTGTGTTAGTATTGGTAGAAAAATATTGGCTTATATAAAATGGGGGCAGAACTGACTTAAAACTTCCTTTTCTTGTAGTACTAGCTATTTTCCTTCGCTCTTTATAGCAGCAACTATATAGTTATAGTATATAGTGTCAGGGATGGGGGGGGCTTTTTTTAATTAGTATTTATCATCTTTCAAGGTGTGTGACATCTGTGGAACACGGTATTTCTTGCTGAGCGTTTGATGTTAACAGTATCAGTTAACATGCAGATTCTGCTTAGCTGTCACTTACGTAAGGAGGCAACTTCTACACATCCGCTCATGGGTTTTTGTTTTATTTTCAAAGGCCTTTTCAATAAATCACGTGAATCCCAACCTTCTCTTCTTGCCCAATGTCTCGGGGCAGGTACCCTTTCTACCTTTGCTCTACCCTTTTAACAGGTAGAATGAGAACGAATTTAAGATTGAAAACCAAATTTCTGCTTTGCTGATTAGTATTAGTTGTCTTATAATAAAAACATTAAATAAACTACCTCAGGTACCTCAACAATTGACACTGTACAGAGATCTTACCTGAAGTGACTTCAAGATAGCCAGCAAAACAGGTCAAGGATTGCTCTTGTACTCTTTGCATAGCTGCTATGGTCGAACATACCCTGACCACGGCAAACTTACCTGGCTTTTTTCTGTTTAGCTCTGGATGAACTGTTTTGCCATTAGAGGAGGAAAAAAATAGTAAAAAAAAATAGTAAAAACAACTTATTCCTTGAAAAGTAGCTAAAGCTACTCTTCAATTTGAATACTGCAAACATTGGAGTTTGACCTAAGGGATCATGAAAAGTAAATTATGCCACCTGTTCACTCATGGGGCTGTAATGCCACACAATTCTGAATATAGGTGTGCTGCTTCAAGCTGCCAAGGTGTTAGATAACTTAGTGTAAACATTCCAGAGAGTAAAACCTGTTTATTTGTGTAGAGATTATTAATAATTACTACAGTTCTCCTAACTCTGATGCTAAGGTAGTAGAATTTCAAATATGTTACAGTAGATTATGTTTTCGTTAAACTTCTAAGGGTCTATAGACCTTGAACGGCTTTTTATGCCTGTCAGGATGAGGTGGCCAAATCTTAATCTATCAGCATATCTTTCAGATATGGTGTCTCTCTTGCTGGAAAGTGCTTTTGGCTGACATTTGCAAATAGGGTAAGATCCTTTAATTTTTAGTGACAAATTGCAGTTGCAGTCTTTGTCTGAGATACTGACTCTTTGTCCCTAGAATTAGCGTTACAAATTACAGTTCCTACTTGAGATTCGTAACACTTCTAGAAGACTACCTATGAGTTTATTTAACTGTAGGAACCATTTATCTACTCCATTTAGGTAGCACTACAAAAACATTGCCTGAATATATTTGTCTGTCTCTTCAGGTGTCTATTAAAGATGCAGCTCTTTCATTTCAGGTAGATGCCATCCTGTTTCAAAATCCTTCCCTTCCTAATATTGTTTAAACCTCACCTGGAATTTCAGATGGCTGAATAGTGCAAACTGTGGCTTTACTTTCAAAAGTCGGACAATACTGGAGCACAGGGACCCTGTGACATGCATTTTCTCCTGCTTCATGGACCATAAGAGTTTTCAGGCTCTTGGCAGCCTGAGAGCATGCCTTGTTAAAAAGAATCAGTAATGTAGGAAGAAGTGTGTTCTTACTGAAGCAATATTCTGAATCTGGTCGATTTTTCCAAGCACATGGAAATTCCTTCTGTTTCAGTATTCATTCCAGTCTTGTCAAAAAAAATTATTGAGATTATTCAAATTATTCCACCTGTGTTGAAGTGAGGACTGGGAGTTTTCCCTGGAGTTGGGTGTATTTCAGACACGATGATTTGAGGATCTCTGGTTCATCTTGCAAAATCTGAGGAAGTTAGTGTGTTCAGTTTGTAGCATTAAGTAGTTACTGAAGTAAAAGACTGTTCACAAACTTGTAGCTTGAAAACACTGGATTTAACATAACCTGCTGTACTGTAGGACATCTTGGAGTAAGTGAAAAATGCACCAAATAACCTATTATTTAAAAATCTTTTTATCATCTTTTTTTTTCAGCTGCCTCTTCTGCACCAGTACAATGTGTTGACTTGAAGAATGTTCCGAAGTTGAACTTGACATCTGGGGTGGTCTATAAAAAACTCTCCCAAAATGATCAAGTACTGTGCAATGCTGTACCTCCCCCTCTGCTGAGAGATGGGAAAAGCCCATCTGAAAGAGTGACTCTGCAAGCATGGACAGATGAGAGACCCATTCCAGTTGATGGTAAAACGTTCCAGGAACACCATTCGTATGGAAAGAGTTCTCTGGAAGATAATTCCTGGGTATTCCCAAGTCCTCCGAAACCTAATGAGAATGTGTTTTGGGAAATGAAAAATAAAACAACTTTGTTAAACTGTCCAGCAGATTACTTGGATCAGTGTAATCAGAACTGTCTGCACAAGAGCTAAGCAATTTTTAGAATGAACTGAAGCGTTTTAGAATGATTCTGAATAGGCACCTTACTGCTTGAACTCTTAAAGAGGTAAACAAATGGGTTGAAATGTATTTTGTTTTTGTTTTCAATTCTATTTCCAAAACAGAAAGCCTAGTCTTCCTCTGCTGTACATCAGGAGAAGTTAAAGCTGCGATAGCGTACTGTGAACGAATCTAGCACGGGGCCTAGATAGTCTTGTCTTGCAAATGGCACACATTTCCAAAAGATTACAGTGAGAAGTTAGTTCTTGGAATAAAACAAAATAATCCAGTTCTGTATCTGTTTGCTATTTGTATGTTATCAAGCACTTGGTGTCATGTTAAAACTTGTTACAGCTCTGAGCTTAGTTTTGACAGCATTGTTTTCTCAGATTAAGGCATAAAATGAAGATTGAATTCTCTCTTCCTCTCTCCTTACAAATAACTTTGATTCCTCTGGTTTAGAAATGCATTTTTATATGATTTTTTTATAAGAAGGGTGAGATTTTTGTCAAAATTTTGATTTATATTAGATAATGGCAAGGGAGAAATCACTCCTACGCTATCCTGTTTAGATTGCACCATTTTGGGCCTTACTGTGGATTAAAAAGGATCATAAGTAATGCTGCTGAACACAGTGAATCGTAGATGTTCAGCCCGTTTCCCTCGGTTTATGCTGTAGGAAAGGGGCTTCCTTCTACGCACAGCGGTGCCTGCCGCAGAATCGTCCTTCTCGCAGTGCAGTTATCCTTACTGTGCCTCCTTTGCACATCACCAGAACCTTGACTTTTTATTTGTGTGGTTGTTCAGGCTACTAACTTTTCTTTTATTAAAGAAACAAAGCCTTAATTTAATTGGACTGGGTGTTGATACACAGAAGAATTTTGGTGGTATCTTTAGTGCTCCATTGAGAGCTGAAGTTACTCAGATTTGCAGATGATGGGTGTCCGAGTACTACTTGACCTTTTTTTCTCCTCTTAAGGCCAAGAACTGTTTTTAGACAAATACAATTATGCCTAGTTTTTTTTAAATCTGCTCTGCTTCTTATCTGGCTTAATACAACAGGGTTAAGTGAAATGCCTCGACTGCTCAATACTTGGAAGGAAAATGCGTTGTATTTTAGATCCATGATACTTGTAACGGGTGGGAAGGTATTTAATACTAAAAATGTTATGTACAGATGTGTGTGGGGCTGAAGTATTCAACGTCGCAGGTCCTGCTGGAGATCAGTGTAATAAAAAATTAATTTCACAGCTGTTTAGTAGCAAATGATCTTAAAATTGCTTGCAAATACATGGGGAGGCTGTGGCTGTAGGATAACCTTTGTAATGATGGGTGTTCCTTAGCCAAGGCACTCCATGGTCTGTGTGGTTCCAGGCACTTTTTTTCCCTGTGGAATGAGTGCTTCATGTGGTGCCCATCCTCTCCTGTTTCAGTTTGTCTAGCAAAGTTGAGAGAATGCCTCTCGGATACCTTCTATTGTATTAGTGAACAGCATACATAAATAATGTTTCCTGTTCACCAGATAGTGGTTTTTATCTTTCTATCATCTTGCTCACGTATAGTGGCTTGTCTGTGATTAATGGAAATGGTGTCAGATGCTGGAATTTATTCTGACCAATGAACACAGCTGACTCAGGGGAGTACAATCTCTTGGAAAGTAATAGAACAAAACCCAATATGCATAAAACAAATCCAAGTCACTAGGCTTTAGCTGATAGAACCAACTACCTGTGTAATAACAAAGCAGCAGGAAGCATTTCTCATGTGGCTGCATAAACTACATGGTATCTAGTTCGAAAGTAGCTTACTTCTTGGGGCTCCCCACCCCATCCTTACAGAGATGGATCTTTTTTTTTCTAAGTATATTATTCAGCAGCCATCTGCATGATTAATACTTTGATTTGTGCAATGAAGGAATTCTACTGTGTAAGATTTTTAATAAATTATTTTTGTTTGAAATTGGTTTAACTTATAAATCTCCTTCTAGTATTTGGCACAAGAACTGTTACTTGGATTTGATTTCTTGATTCTGTAGAAAGGTCACTCCAAATACAAAGGGTTTGGGTTGAGGTTTATTCTTCTCCATTCAGGGTGGAAATAAATGACTGCTTCAGTGTATGGTGGGAGAGGTGTTCTCTTGGAGATTGGAACTGAGGGACCTGGTTACCTTAAGTTCTTGGGTGTTATTGGGGTTTCACTGCTGAGTCTAAAGCCACCCTGGCAGCCTGTCCTGTGTGATGGGGAAGCTTCATTTTCAAGCTTTTCTGCAGTGACTAAGAATTTCCAGGCTTTGCTTCCAGCTCCTGGTTTACCTGTGCTGCTTACTATGTCGGAGAAGGGGCCATGGAAGGAAAGCGATGTTTGCTGAGAGGGACTTCAGAAGTGCTGACATCTGAGAGAAGAGGGCAGCATCACGGAGAGCTTGCTGTAGGCAGCATTTCCAATCCAGTCACTCATTGCCGTGGCCAAACTGCAACATTTGAAAAGGAAGTCCCCAGATCTGCAGCCACTTGGGAGCCGGCTGGCTTGTGAAACATCTGTTGGTCTGAAGCATACAGTCAAATTTTGACTCAAGATGGAAAAGTCATTTAAATCCATGCCACTAGTGGCTTAAGGTACCTCTTCCATTTTCATCGTAGTGACAGCAAATTAAATGCAGAAGTAGCCGTAGTAAAGGGGTTGTGGTGCTTTGTGTGCTTTTATTACATAAAGCAGTGACATTGCACAAGGTAAGGCCCAAAACCTTCAATAAGTGTGTAAAGTGACTAAAAAAATTCACTTGCATGTGAGCTTGGAACATTTTAAAACTTCACCTACCCCATAGTTTTGATAATTTTTAATTTAAGAAAGCACTAATTCCATTCAACAGCAATGAATGACAGCTTTTGGGCAGGACGAGGTTGTTGCTTTGCACGTTTAAGTGAGCATATGGCAGGCTGATGAATATGTATTTGGATGTTTGGAGACTTGGACTAACCTAGTAGCACAATGTAAACTTCCACTGTAACTTGATTAATTTTAACCATTTTAAACATCTAGAAAGCCTCCCTGCCAGTTTTGTGGGTTTTCAGCTGCTTCGTTTTCCTCCTATGCGAAAATATCCATAGGGAAGAAAAGCCAACTCCCAAATTAGCTATAATGTGCTGTCAAATTTTTACAGCTGGAAGAAGGTGAGAGTTGAGCCAGACATATGGTGGAGGTACAGGAAAACAATAGCCATGGCAAAGAATTCAATACAGTCCTGTGTAAGCATATGAACTATACTAGAGATGTAAAACAGGTTTAATCAGATTTAATTTCAAAAACTCTTTGCAGTAGACTTGGGGGATCCTATGCTCAGCCACCTGTCTTTTTAATGATGTTGTGGCCTAGTAAGGGAAGAGTGAAAGAGCTTCAGTAGCTGAACAGCTCGCCTGCGTTTTATTCTGCTCTTCGGACAGGTTCAGTGAACAAAAGAAGTGGAAAAAAGGTAAGGTGTTTCCCTGTTCCTTTGTGTAGCACAACTACAGAAATAAGTATGTTTTTTAATGGGTCAGACTTCTGCTCCTCTTTGTAGGGGGAAGAGTATGCAACTTGCAGTTGCACGAACGTGGCACAATGAGAGAAGTACTTCTTTATTATTATTATCAGCACTAAAGGTAAGCCCTCACTTTCATTTTGTTGCATATTCTCAAGTCCTGCAAGCAGCAGTTGAACCATTTTTGTAAAATTCTCGTCACTAAGTGTCGTGACGTGAGCTGAAATCGGTGCCCCTCGGTCTGTTCCCTTCCACAGAGCAGAATTCATCGCGTTGTGCTTTGAGATGAAAGCTGAAGCATTCTGAGCAGCAAGGCAGTGCAAGGGGCAGTAACTTGTGCTGAGGGTGTTTGAGCAGGGCGTTTGATCCAGGGGAGAGGCACAGCAAATAACCAGATGCTTACTGTTCCTATAACTAGAAGGAGCGCTTATTTCAAATGTATTTGAATATCTTTATGGACCTGTAAACAGAACACAATCTTGCAGGCTCTGCTTGATGAGGAGTATGAGGAAGAATGCACTTCACTCCATTACTGCTTTATCGGTACTATCGATGCTTTATTGCCTTGGTTAGAATCTAGGGCTGCTTCCTGTTAACCTGAGTAGAAAGGAGAAGCTGCAGCTGCGATGAAAGCAAAACCCAAAGCATTTACTAATAAGAGTTTGTCACTTCAGAGTTCTCATTCCTTCATTTTGACTTTAAATAAAAAGTGAAAATGCAATTAAAACACAAGATACCGCACAAGACGTGACGAATACAAAGGTGTGAAATCAAGAATTCAGAACTAGGAAACATCAAATCAAGGCCGTGGGTGTGTTGGAGGAAGCTGATGCCAGAGCCCAGCTCTAAATGCCACAGCAAAGGAAGAGGTGTGAGAACCCAGTTCTTACATGTGCAACTATGTAGGTAAAGTGAGTGGGTTACGGCATGATTTAGTAGGTGCAATTTCAGGCTTGTCAGTAGAGTTTCCTTGGCAAGCAAGCACAGGTGGTTGCAGTCGTGCATATGAAGCACGTATAAAATGGTAGGGGAGTAATACTTGCAGGTTAAACAGGACTTTGTTCTGTTATTGGTGTAAATTCTACCAGCTGTACCAGTCACTGCACTGGCATTCCTTCTCAGTGCTTCTTGCTAGGCCTGAAAAGAAGGAACACCCACGCTGCTGGTGTTCCTGTCTGTAGTGAGCAGTGGTGGTACAAGCCTGAGTGAAAGCCAGGAGAGCAAGGTGCTGGCAGCACAGGGCACTGCCTCTACGAGGATGCTTACCCCAGCCCAAAGCATGTCTGTCCAGGCTTTTGCCAAAAATGATGAACACAAACCTCCAGACAGAGAGCCTCTAAGTGTAGCAGGTCTTCCTTCACAGTGGAGTAGCAGAACAGTTGCTGTCTGTGAGATATATAACTAAATGAGGGTCAGCATCTATCTTAAGATTCCTCTGATGGGGGGAAAAAAAAATAAATACAACTAATTGATTTGAAATACTTGTTTGTTTTCCAAGATGCTTGCACCAAGATGCCAAGAACAAGCACATATGTAAGAAACTCTAGTCCACAGAACCCACTAGAGTCCATAGAACCCCTACTGTGTTGGCTATGTGTAGAGCTGGGTGCCGCTTAAGCTTGCCTGGCAAGCCAGAATGCTGTACATCTTTTAGTCTTTGTTTCTCAAGCATTCCCTAATCCTCCAGACAATCCGCTATCTAATAGTGGAAGAAGTATTATTGTTGTTACTGTTCCAATAAAGGGCAAGGACTACACTGCAATGTTACCATAAATACTTTACATCCATACATCTCAGAGGTTGGTTTGCATTTCCCACTTGAGTAGCTTTGGAGCAATACCAGTCTTGTGGCAAAACAGCATGCAAAGTAAGTCAAATGAAAAAATGGCAAATATTACTTCTTCAGGCTAATTACTGCTTTTAAAACAAGCCACGGTTGTTACAATGTAACTTTCATCATCATAGTCTTTCCTTACCTGTAAAGAAATGTCTTATTTTGGGGTATCTTTTGAAATGGTAATATGAAGAGTTTCACAACGTCAGTCACTGTACCCTCCAGTGATGCATTTGAGAAGTCTCCAGTTCAGCAGCTTCAGTTAGCTGTATACCTCTCTTTTTGCAGGGACTTTGTTATACCTAAGTTTTGCACCAAGATGAATGGATGTTTAAGAACTGACCAGCATCTTCAGTTTATGTACTCATCCATAATAATTTTGCAAGTGTGGTCACTTACCACTTTTGAAAGATGGAAGCGTGTATGATCATCTCCATGCTGAAGAATGAAAGTGGGGGAGGATACTGCTCTCCATGATTTTTTTTAATGTATTTTTTGCCCTCAGTGTGTCTTCTCCTATTGTCAAGGAAAATCTAGATTGGACAACTCCTCTCCTCTGGAGCTGAAGCAGCAAGGCATGGGGCAACCCTCTCTTCTGACAATGCAGAGCCAAACTATGAGTCATAGCACTTGAGAAAGTAAGTAGTATCAGGCACTCATTTTCATGAAAATGGTGAAGCAAGGAGCTTTTCCCTTCTGCATTTGCTGCCCTTCTTGAAAGAACATAGAGAATGTTTCCATCTACCCTCAACTTTGATGAGAAAATTCACCAATTTCAGTATACACCCCATTTAAAAACACTTCATACAGCTTAAATTATTCACCCTGAAATTTTTATGTAGCCTGTCACATACAACTAGATAAAATAACAAACAGCCTTTCAGAATTTAAAGCTCGTG